AAATATATCTCTTTATTTTTTTATTAGGAGCTTGCGAGGAGGATGCTCACGGGAGAGCCTGGCCGCCTAAATGAATATGTCCTGGGAAAACGGAGATATTTCTGTACGACCCTTTTCCTATCGCATGAATACTTTTGGAAGACGGTGATTGAAGGGAGCAGGGAGCCGATAACGGCAGGAAGGATTTTTTATTAATTTTTTATTTCTTATTTTCCCACCCGTTCCCTTTTTTGGTTCACACCCTTGCGGCGGGTTCTTGTGGCTGCAGGACCCCAAAGTCTGCCACTTCGTAAGTTATGAATGCACACACATATATATATATATATACATGTCCAATCCGAATAGAGTGATTGGGTCACGATGGTGACTAACAAAGTATGCATACATAAATGTACACTTACTTGTTGCTAGACCTTGAGGATACGGTGAATCCCCATTTTTATTCCATTCATTCATTTCTTATTCCTATCTTTTTTGGTTTCTGTTATTTATAAACTTAGGATCCGGCCAGCGGCCCCTGTAGATATTCTTTTCATGCTTTGGAGGCACTTGACGACACCTGTCGTGGAGAGCGTTTTCATTTCATACGAGGATGGTGCACGGGAGACAAGGAAGGAGAGCGGAGCCTCGCCAAAAAGAGCGGCCGCTGGGACGTTGGCAAGAATTGGTGCTGTTTGCACGGCCAGCTGCTTGCTCTCGATAGGATGTTCCTTGGGGCGTTCATTGGCCCGAGAGTGAGGTGCACACACGGGCAGGCACCGCAACAACCGTGTCGTTGGTTCTCTGTTGCACGAATGAGACGACGCACATCAGACGTGGCAGGTGACGTCCACTGCGAGCACTCCTCTTGCCTCTTCTGTTTCGCAACTTGGCATTCTCTGCATGTGGACACCGCTCCCATTGGCCACGTTTTATGACGCGAGAGTCGCTTTTCTTCCTCTCCATCGCATGAACGAGTCGTGAGGAGGGCTTGAGGGTGCGTTGAGGAGCCGTGTGGTCTCTGCGAGCATCTCCTCTGTTGGTCAGAGGTGTTGGCTTTTGGATTACCGAAACGCACCTTGAGTGCTTGCGTTGGAAACTCGCATGACTGAGCGGCAAACGTCTCTGTGGAGGTGAAGGAGGACCACACCATTGGGAGGGAGAAGAGTGAATGGGTGAGTGGGTGGTGTCTGTGGCCCATATTGTGGTGCCCGACTGTTACTTCACGTTGTTTGTTGTTATTGTCATTTGCATTCACAAAGAATGGCGTTGGGTACTGCACCCACGAGCTCTTCTGTCGTTGGCTGAGGTTGCTTTAGTGCTGCTTCTCCCAACTCCCTCTTTTTCTGTGCGTTGCGTGTTTGTGAGCATGACTCTTCTTCCGTGCTGTGCATTTGCCTCATGAGTCGCAGATGGTCTGTGTGGAATACATGATGATTTGCGGCATTTTTTTGGATTGTGCTTTGATCTCCACCGCGGAATGACGGTCGGACTGGAGGCGTTGCTTTTTTCTTTACTCTGATCACGTGCGATGTGTATTGGAGACTTCTCAGGGAAGAGCAAGTTGAAATTGTTATGAAGCCCATGTATGATGCCATAATTTTCATTGACATGGAATGAGTTGAGGGTTTCTCCATATAAGCTCCTGTGCATTCTTGCCGTGGTGCTCTACATGCATAGCCCGGAGAGAAAGCCGGCTGAGAATTGTCAATGGGCTTCTCGTTGAGCCGAGGAACGCATAGTGTGTTTTCTGCTCATTGAGAGTCCGGGCGCCACGGAGGATGTATGAGGCAAGCAGAACCTTGTGCATGGCGGAAGGAGGAGACGAGGGGCTGATTGTTTGGTTGTTGGTGACGATTCATGTCTCACTGCTTGGAGGGAGCTGTTGTTGACTGGAGCAACCTGTTCTGTGTGTCCAGACGCTGCTTGCGCCGAGTAGTGGGATGCCATTTTGGTGTGTGTGCGGCTCCATCATGCGGGGCAGCAGCGTGACGTATACGGACTGCGTGTCTGTGGGTTGATGAATGTGGTGGGAGGCATGTCTGAGGAGAATCCGCGAAAGAAGGAGTGGCATGTGTTTGGCGGTGCTGCTGTGCGATGTGCGGGGGAGGAGGGAAAACAAGTGATTTCTGACATGTCGGTGGGTCTGCCACGGCCACCAATGTGTTTTCAGTGAGAGGGGCAGGAGGGAGTGAGACGGAGACTGGGCGCACCCGCTGCGGCGTGTGGTGCGACAGGATGCGATTGCCGTTGTGAAGGGTGCAACGGCCGTCACGCGTGCAGCAGAGCGTCGTCTGCATCTTTTTGCCTGCAGAGCTTCCAGGTGCCGCAAGGAGGTGCAGACGACCTCTCAATATTGGGCTGCTGAGGCCGTTTTTCCTTTTTGCTCAGCAGGAGAAGCAACTCTTCTTGCAGGTGGTGTTGCTGGTCTGCATCGATGCTCCCCACGGGGCATCACGCCGCCGTGTCGTTGCAGCGCAAATATCTTTTTCCTCACTGCACACGTGGCCCCCTTTCGCTTGCCTTATCTGCAGGGCCATGGCCTGCGGTCCCTCATTGGGAGGCTTTTTGCTTTTTAAATACTTTATATTTTTTTATGCTGTTAAGAGGTGCTGGGGAGTAATGACTGCGGGGATGGTGATGTTGTGGTTCGCTGTGAGTGGTGGCGGTGTGCACTGCTGTTGTGCTGTCTTTCTGCCGCTGTTGTCTGTTGCTCCCCTCCAATAAGGAAGTTACTACCAAACGCTAATCGCTACTGTGAAATTCGAAGGCACTGAAAGGACCAACAGCACACACACCGCCCACATACATACACATATTTGTATGCTCTCACGTGTTGCTGCAGTGAAGGCACCCCGCACACACAACCGTCGCCGCGTGACCGGATCCAGCGGAAGGAGGAGGGAAGGAAGAGAGAGTGAGCCGCAGAGGCCCCACATGTTCCGGCATCTCTTCTATTCCGTGGTGCTGCTCTTCTGCGTCGTCGTGATGTGCTGCGCCTCCGAAGATGCACACGCAGAGGAAAGTAATCCAGTGACTGCTCCAACGTTTGCATGGAAAGGCATCACTGATGAAAATGATGTAACGGTGAAATCGTTAGGCGTTCCCGGCCTTTTGAAAGTGGGAAATGATGTATTTGCCGTTGCCGAGGCTCATTGCAAGAAAAACGGTGAAGACATCATCTTTACTGGCATTGCGTCCGAATTTCTTGCGGAAACGAAGGATGTTGAACAGAAGGAAATTATGAAGGATGTCAAAACGAAGACACAATTTTTGGAGAAAGAAGATTCTGAAGAGAAGAAAGTGAACGTGAGCCGGCCAACAGTAGTCGTTGAGGAAAATGATATTTACATAATGGCTGGGACTTACAGCTCGAACCCTGCTGATAGTTGTCAGGATGGGGCTGACGTGGCTCCTTCGGGACTTCTGCTGGTAAAGGGGCAAGTCAGTGATGAAGAAAGCAAAAAAATTGACTGGAACGATACTCACGCTCTACCGTGCACTTTTTTAAACCAAGAACACAAATCCTGGACGCAGCTGACTGGCGGCGGTGGATCGGGTGTTAAGATGGAGGACGGTACGCTTGTGTTCCCTGTGGAAGCCACGAAGAAGAAGACGAACCAGGGTGATGGCAACGAAAAGAATGGAAAGACTGTCTCGCTGATCATATACTCGAAGAATACTAAATTTTGGAAGCTGTCGGAAGGGATGTCTGCCGATGGCTGCAGTGATCCCTCCGTCGTGGAGTGGGAGAAGGACAAACTCATGATGATGACTGCGTGTGATGGTGGCCGCCGCAGGGTGTACGAGTCCGGTGACAAGGGGGATTCGTGGACGGAGGCACTCGGGACACTCTCGCGCGTGTGGGGCAACAAAAAGGGTGAAAAGGTTGAAATCGTTGGGAGCGGGTTCATCACAGCGACGATTGATAAGAAAAAAGTGATGCTCGTCACTCTGCCGGTGTATTCGAGTAATGACGAAGTTAATCGAAAGGGTGAACTCCATCTTTGGCTGACGGACAACACGCACATTGTTGATATTGGGTCGGTATCCGGAGAGAAAGAAGACGTTTCCGCCAGCTCCCTGTTGTACAAAAGTGGTGAAAGTGGAGATGATAATAATGAGCAGGGGGAGGAGTTGATTGCACTGTACGAGAGGGAGAATGGCAATGAAGAATCATCTTACGGTATGTTTACTGTGCGTCTGACTGCGCAGCTGGAGAAGGTGAAGGATGTGCTGAAAACGTGGAAGGAAGTGGACGAACGTGTCTCCCAGCTGTGCCCTACTTCAACTGCTGCGGAGGATGCCTCACCTGACACTGCCTGCAGCGATGGTAAGATCACGGATGGGCTGGTTGGCTTTTTGTCCGGCAACTTCTCTGGTAACACATGGAGGGACGAGTACCTCGGCGTGAACGCCATAGTAAATAATAAAGGTGTGGCGAAGAAGGCGGATAACGGCGTGCAGTTCACGGGGCGTGGAGCGTGGGCGCAGTGGCCTGTTGGCAAGCAGGGGGAGAATCAGTTGTACCACTTTGCGAACTACAACTTCACTCTTGTGGCGACGGTGTCCGTCCACGGTGAGCCGACGGAGGGTACTATTCCATTGATGGGTGTGAAGATGGATGGCGATGAAGAAGGATCCAAACTTATGGAGCTGTCATACGACAGCGGAAAGAAGTGGAAATTGCTTTGTAGTGGCAAGACAACTACGGAGCACAGCAGCACTTTGGGGACAGAGACAACTCAACACGTGGTAATTATGCGACGGAACGGCAACCAGAGCTCCGCGTACGTCAATGGTAAGCGTCTGGGTGGGAATGAACAATGTAAATTGGAAACTACGGATTCGAAAGAGATATCGCACTTCTACATTGTAGGAGATAGAGGCAGCGCAGACGATACAAGAAGCCAAGAAGAATTGCCCGTGACTGTGTCGAACGTCCTGCTGTACAACCGTCCGTTGAGTGACACAGAGATTGCAGGGCTTGCCAAAAATACAATTACTATTCCGAAGCCGGAGGTTTTGAAGACATCGGGGGAAGACAGTCGCTCAACAACGGTAAGTGGATCAGATGTGGAGGAAGCCGTCACCCAGTCTAATTTAGGCGGACCACAGCGGATGCAACACGAACCGTTGAAGGCTAATGTTGGTGGTGACGGTGTATCCAGTGCAGCTTTCGTTGCTACGACTCCCTCGTCTGATGTTGCTCAAGCGGTGACGACAGGGAGTGAAGATACGATGCGGGGAAATGGATCACCCCAAACTCCTGAGTCGAGCACGAGCTCTGGTGAGGATGGGGAGACGGCGGGAGGAACGGATGGGCAGGAGGAAGAGGTCCATCCACAGGTCGGGGAAGTGAATGCCACGGCGCTCAGCAGCAGCCTCGGAAATGTGTCGCAGGGGAATAACAGCGATGCCGGCGCTTTGCGTGAGACCAGACTGCTGCCATCGCTGCTCCTTCTGTTGGGACTGTGGGGGTTTGCAGCTCAGTGAGGCGTGAATGGCTGCCGCGTGGGACAATTGCGACCTCCGCTGCACAGAATTACTCCCAAGAACTAATTTATCCTTAAGATAATTTGCTTTTTCTTGCTTTTGCTTTGTTGTGCGTTTTAAACCTTTTTTTTTTAATGGTTTATTTTTAAATTATTTTGTGTTTTTTTTTTCTTTTTCTTTTATCTTTCATCCCGCATCCCTTTTTTTGCTTTTTGGGGGGAGTCACTGTGGAAGATTTTTTTCTTTTCTACTCTTCCCTCTTTTCAATTGTTTGTTGCTGCACTCTTCCTGTGAGGGGTGCCGTGTGTTTCCGCCCAACTGCTCCACTCGCACACCCACCGACACGCTCGTGACGACGGCCCTGTGCGCCTCGCCTGCTGCACGCATGAGGAGGGACCGCGACGAACGGCGCGCTGAGGGAGCCGTGACGTGTGGGCGTGCGACGAGGGCCTGTGGGGCGGAGCACACATTTCTTCCCTCTTGTTTTTTTCTTTGCGGTCAGGGCTGGCAGACACCCGCAGCGCCACACACACAGCCACACCCTGCCTCCGTGTTTTTTGTTTTTTCTTTTTTGTTTTTGTTTTTGTGGATGGATTTGTGATTGTTGATGTTGGGTCCGTACCGCATGTATCGCTGTCATCCAGCTGTTCCTCTTGCTGTGCTGATGTGCCTTCCTGTGCTTCCCCTCCTTTTCCCGTTTCTCCAGCACAAACACACTCACACATAAGTATTTGTACGGTGCTCTGCAGTAATGTTTCGGCGAAGGTAGGGACGTTGGCTTGCGTCCCGTGCTGAAATGGCAACGCCGCTGCACGATGCCCGCCATGCGTGAAGGTGTTGCCTGCTCTTGGGGCATTCTTCTCTCCTCGTTGTTTTTGCACTACTGGTTTCGGGCGTTGCTCGGTGTGTGCTGACGCGTGACGGACGGTGCCACGATGGCCTCCTCTGACGGTGACAGTCGCTGTGCTCTCGGCACACATCCACACACTCTTCCCTGTCTCTCTGTGGGAGTGATTGCGGCAGGGCATTGCTGCGAGCGTGATGGGGACCACGAAGGCTTCATCCCTCGAGAAGGTCCCACGCTCCGTCGGTTGTGTAGCGGCGAGGCGGTTTGCCTGCAGCCCGACTGACAGAACCGCACAGTCGTTTCATTGCGGTCACTCCGTCGGCATCACCCGCTGCGGTGGTGTCCGCAAGAGCCGCAGCCCCGATGAGGATGGCCTTGTAGTTTTCTGGTGGCTGAGAACCTCAGGCCCTTCGTCTTTCAGGATTGCCCTGCTGCTTGACTGGCGCAGCACCATTCGTCGCCTTGGCCCAGCAGCGGTTATTTGCGACATGAACCCACACCATGAGCTGCGGGACGGTCGCTCACCATCCAAGACGGCAGGAGAGGACCTCGCCGTCATTCCAAGTAACATGGACGCTGAGCTATCCGGCGACCCGGCACAGGCAACGTGGACCAGCGGCCGCAGCGTATCGTTTCCCGACGTGACTGCGCAACGCGTGCTGCGTGTCTCCCACTGGACGTCCACCTGTTTACATGGACTCGGACCACCATCTGCCATCCCACACCGCGGGGACGGAGGACGGCATCCCGCGACAGGCAGGCATGCTGCCACGACGGAAGCATGTCTTCGTTGTCCTGCGTGAAGCTGACTGTGATGCTTCCACCTCGGCGCGTGTAACGTCTCTGGCCACTGTGACCACATGGATGGAGATGCACCGCGGCACCGCACGAGCGGCAGCCGTGGCAGTTCCACAGGAACCTGGACGGAAGGAATGGAGCAGGCCGAGTGTGTTGCAGCGGCAGCCTGCCACGAGCAGAAGTGCTCCGCAAACGGGAGGACCGCAATCATGCCCTTCGCCGTGGCTTCTCCATGCTGCCAGAGGTCCGTGCGAAACAGCTTAGTGCCCTCTCGATCCCAGGCCTGTGATGCCCCGAGGCATGGCGGCGCCACTTCCCTGCCCTCTGGGATCGGCTGTGCTGCGGTGCTGTTGGGACCGCGTCTGTGCTCTGCCTCCGCCGGAACCCCTTCCCGACGTGAGCACCGCCACTCCTTGCCGAAGAGCAAGCGGCTGATGGACGTCCTCCTGCCCACTCCTCAGCAGACTGGCACGCGCCCTGCAGATCACAAGCAACCCTCTGTGTTGGTGGTGCTGCTCCTCCTCTCAGTGAAGAGGCAGGACTGCCCCGACCTCCTCCGGAACCTCCACCTGGCGTGTCGACGGCACCTCCTCGTAGAACGACGAGCAGCGGATCAACGTCGCCCCGCCCAAGCTGCAGCAGCGTCTTCTCGTCCGTCCACAATATGAAGGCACACGCCCGACGCACTAACCCTGGCACTCCAATCGTTGCAGAAGGCCCAACATGTGGATTCTGCGACAGCTCCACGGTCTCCCCAACAGATGCCTCACGCGCAGGTCGCTACCAAAATGTCAAGCGTATCAACGAGCAAAAAACGGACAACGCACCTCTGCAAGCTCCAATGACAGCCGTAGCCCTTCAGCCACTCCTCTGCTGCAACCCCCCACCAGCCGCTGAGCCGCGACAATACACGGGAGGCCCTGCCGCACACGCTGTGGGAATGCACACGTCCTCGACAACTGAGCATCCGACTATTTGGGAACACACCCTCTCGCACGACAGCATCGTTCAAGACGGAAAAACTGGCCACATCGCTACGGACAGCCCGCAGGCCATTAACGAACAGTGGCTGCAAAGTATAACGAAACAAATACTTCCCTTTTCTCAGCATAGAAAAACGTCACCTTCACACTCGCAATTGCCACCAATGAATTCATTGCGCAATACCGCTCTGAGCTGCAATACTTCCTGGTGCCATCCAGGTCCCTTGTCGACACATCGATGCGGGTGGGCGCCCATCCATTCCTCCCAATGACGGTGCATGTCTGCGACGCACCCTCATATCCAAAGGGCACGTCCCTCACCACAGCCGGGATCGACTTCGCCCTGTCGGCACGCATCGCCTTTTCAGAGGAGCAGGAGCACGTCAGGCTGGCAGCAAAGCACCCGCCGGCACAACACATCACAACCAGAAGCACCAGCAGCACTGCAGACCGTGGGGCGACGTGGATCAACTGACGCATGCTGCACGTGAAGGAAGACACTTCATGGCTTGACAGGAATAGGAAATACTCACAATATCTCAAAGGAAAAAAGAAGAAATACAAAAAGACAATTTAGGCGTCCGCAGTCAAAGCATGCCAACAATCTAAAAACAAGGATAATGCGTGCACTTAACCACAATACAAATAAAACAATAAAAGAAAAAGCCGAAGCGTGGGACGACCAGCGCACACACTCTCATTACTCCCGTAAAGCAAAACACACACAGAGGGAGAGAGAGAGAGGTCGCCCACTCAATGCAATAAAAACAAAACAGAAACAGTTACGGTGCTCCGCCCATGCAGCCAGGCAGGACGGCAGCGGTGCGTGTCGTGCAAAAGAGAGCACCAACGGGCCTGCATGGGTGTGCATGCATATATACAATGGGCACATTATTGTTTGTGCTTATTAGGCTGAGGTGAGGGCGAGAGTCCATGCAAGGGAACACACACAGAGAGAGAGAGAAGGAAGAGTGTGTGTGAGGGCGGTGCACGGCTCTCTCTCCCTCATTCTCACGCGGCCACCACCGCAGCAGCAGCCGCACATGCAACAACAAGAAGAAGCAAAAGAGGGGAGGAGGTGGTGTGGGAGACCGCGGTGCTGCCGTCACTGTCGGCAGGTGTCGCCGTGCCATTTGCGGTTTTGTTTGTACCAACGGCATTTTTATCCGTCTTGGATTCTTGTTCATTATCTGCGGGGTTTCCATGAGGCGGTTGCTGTTTTTGCTGCCGTGGTTGTTCTTGCGGTGGTGACGGCTGTTGCATTGATTGTGGCGGTTGTGGTAGTGCGCTCTGTTCCTGTTGTTCGACTGGTACGTGCAATTGTGGCTGATGTTCTCCTCCTTTTTCTTCATTTTTTAGTTCTTGCTTCATTTTTTCTTCTTTTACTTTATTTTGCAGTTCTGTATCTTGAGATTCTTCTTTTAATTTATCCAGTTCTTGCGTTCCTTTTTCGGATCCTTTTTCATGCGGCATGCCTCCTTCTTTTCGTAGTATTTGTGGCTGTGGTTGTTGCTGTTGTGTATTTTGGTGTGATTGTTGTGATTGCGGGTGTGGCAACGATAGTGGCAGTACGCCATGCTCCTGTTGTGTCACTGGTACTTGCAGCTGTGGCTGATTTTCTAATTCTTTCCCGTCATTTCTTTGTTGTTGCAATTCCACTTCTTCTTCTATGCTTTTTGCCGGATCATCGGTTCCTGGGGGTTGTTTTTCTGGTGAAGGCGATTTAAATTCATCCACCTTTCCAGAAATCAAAACATCTTTGTTCTTATCCACAGCATCTCCACCTGGTCCTCCCAAAGTTCTTTCTGAGGGTCCGCCTTGTGATACATCTTTTGGTGGTTCTGGTACTAAACCTAATTCTCCGTGTCCCACTGCTGAACGATCTGCCTTTTCCATTCCATCTTTACCAAGATTCCCAGGAGCACCGCTTGGACCAACAGGATCCTTCGCGATCTCCTCGTCACATCTACCGCCGGCACCGCACCACAGCACGCAGAGGGCACACACCAGCAGCACACGGCCAGTCATCATCGCCATCACTCCTGTCACTTGCGTGCAGCCTTCAGCACAAACCAACTCCCCGTCAACGCAGAGTGAAAGGCAAAAGGGGATACAAAGCACACAGCCATGCGCTGTAAAAAATGACAGCATCCCAGCAGAAGCAGTAGCGCACATACCATGAGGCAGAGGGAATCAGTGAAATGGAAAAAGCACACATACATCCCCGCAGCGCGTAAACAGCAAAAAAAAATAATTAAAAACAAAGCATGAGTAAACAAAAAGCAATAGAGTAAAAACAGTAAAAAAACAAAAGACAAGGAGCTGCGAAAAATGGCTCCAGTGCGCATGCACCCACACACAGACATACTTCCACGTAAAAATTTGCAATCGTGTCGTGCATATGAGTGTGTCTCTGGGGTGCGTTCAACGTGACGGATGTGGGAATCAACGCGGAGCACACAGCAGAATAGCGGAAGCAAATGAAGCAAAACACAAACATTATTTTCTATTATTTATTTACATCGGACCACGGTAGACGTGCACAAGTCCCCGCGGTTGAGTGCTGGCACGCACAGCTCGCATACACCTCTTCAGCCCACAGTGGTGCACGCCAGCGCGGATACGGCGAGCAGCAGCGTGGCACACACCCACGGAGAGCTGCTGAGGCTGCCGTCGATTTCGCGCAGACGTGACGGTGCGCGGGTGGTCGTCGTGGTTGTAGTAGTTGTAGTAGTGCTTGGCGCCCGTGTTGTAGTGGTCGTTGTGGTGGTGGTTGGTTCACGTGTTGCAGTCGTCATGGTCGTGTGAGCAGAAGCGTCATATGGCTTAATTACTGGTGCAGAGGGCATTGGACTGGTGGCATTTGTATTGGCTTCAGGCTTAGCCTTCCTGTCATCCTCCGGTGACTTTTTTATAGTGGTCGTCTTGGCACGACCTTCGGTTTCTTCATGTGTTTTTTCTTCGGAAAAATCGCTGGGACTTCTTAGTCCCGTATCACCGTCCGTACCTTCTCTGTTTACCGAATTGTGAGCGTCATCTGTTTGAGAATCCCGATCCGTCAAAACTCTTATTTCACCGCCAACATTATCCTGGTCCAAAACGGAATTTATACCTTGTGGTAGTGATTGACTGTTCGCCTGTGGTGCCTCTTTTACTCCTGTTCCAGAAGTCGATGGAACGGAGGTGTTTAAATCAACTTTAGGCTTCTCCGGAGGTTCTGTCACGCACACGGACGGGCAGCAGCACAGGGCGAGCACCAACAGGGCGCACAGCAGACGGCACATCATCATCGTGAGTGTGGTCCTTCAGTGGTGTGGAGCTGATCTGCACAGTGAGGGACATGGAGAGCAACAGGGGAGACGAGAGGTGCGGCAGACACACACAGAGGGCACACCACATGAGGAGAGGGCAGCAGCCAGGCATGCACCGTACGCCGCACACCACGCACAACACACACTCCAATCCACGGCAACAGGCACACACACACACAGCCCTGCCGCAACACCAACACACAGATGGAAGAGGGAGAAGCAAACAGGAGCGGCACACAAGGCTCCACCGCATGCACATACGGCGAGAGCGGTCCGTCGTGTCGGCACCCCTCACGGAGGGTACGCACACACACAAGAGGAGGTGCAGCGCACACAGCAACACAAAAGCAAAGTAACAATAAAAAGGAGATCCCCGCACACCACGTGGATTGTTGGTCCACGGGAAGTGCAGTCGATATTCATCATGTAAACAGCTTAGATTATGTTTGCTCTTCTTTGCCTGTTGTGCCGGCTACCTGTGAGTGGCGCGAAGGCCGTCAGCAATAACGTGGTAAGCATTCAGTCGCATGCGGGCCGTCGTGCGGGCTGGAGCAGTCCCAAACAGTCACAGTCCATATTCTCAATGACAGGACATTACCAAAGTGGATGAGGCGGAGTCTCCCGTGGTCCGTCGGGAATCAGCAGCACGTGGCGTCTGTGATGAGGCGGTGGCGGAAGAGCCTGGCTCATCTCGAGTGCCCGCGGTGGTGCTTCCTGCGTGCCTTGCCTGCTAGCATGCTTGGATCTTCGGTGGCGACCAGCGCACGAGGTGCCTGCTAAGAAAACCATGAAACAATCGCGGCACCCGCATGTGAGGCCTGTCAAACTATTATAACGCCAGGCCGAGCACGTCGGACATGTGCCGTCACGCTGCGGACAAACGGGCGCACTCCGCCGCAGATTGAGCAGGAGAATGTCAATCCGCCGCTCGCTGGTCAGCAAGAAGTTGCGGAGTTTTTGTCTGGAAGAGGTTCCGGCGGAGGCAGAGGCGGGCCGGTCTCCTCGGTAAAGAAAGGGACGGCACCACCGACACAGGGAGTTCCTTGTGATCCGCAGTGCTCGCGGGCCTGTCGAATAGGGGGCAGGAGTCGCATCGCGCCTGTGCGGGGATCCGCCACTTCGGGCACGATGTCCGCGTCAACACCAGGAATGGAGTTCCGCCACACCGTCAAGCGCCTGTCATGCGGTGTGTGCGCCTTCCTTTTCCTCCTGGAATTTCTTTCAGTACGGCCGCCTGACTGCGGTGAGGAGGCCCACGTGCCAGGCATTGACGCAGTCCTGCGCGAGGGATCGCGCCATGATGGCATCAGCGTCCGCTGTCACGTTGCGTGGGGCTCCGCAGTGTCATGGTGAAAATGTGGAGTCAACTGTGCGAACTCGATCCACCAGTGAAAGCGGCACGGTACAAATCTCCTCGGTGACGTCGTCGTGCGCCGCCAGCGAGCCAAGACGGAGTGACTCCATCGCCGAGAGGGAATCTGTGGCGGCAGGAACTCGTGTGGGCGATCGGGATGCTGCTGCCATGCGGGGAACTGAAAACTGTCTGGGGCCATGCTCAGTGGCAGGACACTCCGCTCGGCAGGAGCATGCAAGGCTGCCAGCAGCTGCGCGGTGAGGCCCCACAGGGAGCGCCGCTGTCCGGGGAGTCAAGTGGCAGCACAGCGGATCCAGACGCACGCACAGCGAGAGAAGACAAGCAGTCCACCGCCAACACAGTTGCCAGCGACTAACAACACGTTGACCATGAATAGGGCACGTATGCCCGCAATGCCGTGGGCACGGACAGCGACCCCGATTCACTCAGCAACAGTGATCTAATGCCCTTGGATGGTGCAATAGCCACGCCTGAGCCCAGCACAGCCCTAGCAAATGCTGAACGAGTGATAACGTGTCGTGTGGCGCTGATGCCGCACAGGATTATTTGCGCGCAACGTCTGGGAAACCAGAGATCCCATCGGAGCACAACGCAGCATCACTTGTGAGCAACGGTTTTTGTGAGCACGGGCATTTCACGGATTTGTTGGCCATGGCCGAAATTGGTGACATCACCGTGCATGGGTGTCTGTCTCGGGTGATGTTGCTTCTGCTTCTGGGGCTGTGAGACACTGCGGCGCTCTGCTGAGGTGTGAGGGAGGGTGGAACTGCGGCTTTTCGTGGAGCAATAACTGTGCAGCTTGCCAGCATTACCCACTGAGTTTTGTCAATAATTTAAGCTTTTTTATTTTCTTTTATTTATTTATTTTTGCTGCCTTTGCCCTATTGGAATAATCAGCATCCCTGTGTTTTTCCCCAATGGTTGCCTGCCGCGCACTGTCATGAGTGACGTGCTTCTACCTTTTGTTTCCTTCCGTTGCCCACACGCGGTGCTCCACACCCGCAGGAAAGGTGATGCGGGCTGCGCACTCCCTCCTCCCTTCTCCTCATGGCCACGGAGGAAGACAACAGCCGCCACACGCAACTGCCAGCATGCACTGCAAAAGGAGCATCCAAATCCACTGCAATGTGCATCTTGTGTGTGTGTGTGCCTGCAGAAACACAAAGCAAAGAAGTAGAGAAAAGAGGGGAGCAGAGTATGTGGAGGAACGCACAAAAATGTACAGCGGAGGTGCGTGGCGGAAGCAACAAGAAGAAGACCGCTCAAACGCACGATTGCACCGCAGTCCAAGCAGCGGCAATTCACACAAGATTTATTCAAAACAAAAAAAAGCTTTCCCCTTCGTCTTACACAAACCCCATCACACAAAATAATTATAAATAAAAAAGAAATCGTCCATTACTGTTCCACACAAATTTAAAAAAGCTGCCGGCTGCCCTGTGGCCACACCAAACTGTCCGTATATATTTTGCCCGCAAAATAAAATTAAAAGATATTTAAATGTCCTTCAGCCGTCCGACCCTCTGTGTGTCCGCACATCGTTTATATTTCATGGGGTCATCGGCGTGTTGCTGCTCCCCTCAGCCCTCTCATCGGCGCGTGAGTGCGGCCCGCAGAGCACAGTCACTCGTGTGTGGGGACTGAGAGAAGCACGCAGACATGACGGCAGTCGCGTCACTCCATCGGGAGAGTGAGCGCAGCAAAAAAAGCAAAAAATCTTAAAAACACGGCGGCAGGGTGTGGCTGTGTGTGTGGCGCTGCGAGTGTCTGCCCGCCCTGACCGCAATAAAAGAAAACAAAACAAGAGGAAAGAAATTTGTGCTCCGCCCCACAGGCACTCGTCGCACGCCCACACGTCACGGTTCCCTCAGCGCGCCGTTCGTCGCGGCCCCTCCTCATGCGTGCAGCAGGCGAGGCGCACAGGGCCGTCGTCATGAGCGTGTCGGTGGGTGTGCGAGTGGAGCAGTTGGGCGGAAACACACGGCACCCCTCGCAGGAAGAGTGCAGCAACAAACAATTAAAGAGGGAAGAGTAGAAAAGAAAAAACCGTCCATATTGATTGCCCCAAAAGAAAAAGGGATGGGGAATGAGAAAAAAACACGCAAAAAAAGAAAGTAAAAAAAAAAAAGTAAAGTCAACCAAAAAGAAGCAAACAGTAAAATAAATTTAAAATACGCAAAAAAAAAGATTTATGAGTGAAATTTGTTCCCATGGGGAAGTAATTCGGTGCCGAGGTGTTCCACGCCGAGACCACACACTCCTCAAGAAGCGGCAATCCCCCACAGTCCCAGCAGAAGGAGCAGCGGCAGCAGTCCGCCTCCGCAAACAGCGCTGCCATCACCATTTGCCCCAAAGTGGCGAGCGGCACCGACACCCGTTGCTCCTGCCGCCAATGTTTTCGGATCTGTCAGCTTTGGAATAGAAATTTTGTTTGCGTTGAGGACGCGGATCTCATTGTCATCCAACGGGCGGTTGTACAGCAGGACATTCGTCGCGGTCACAGGCACGTCTTCCTTGCTCCCTGCGCTGCCTCCATCCCCTCCAATGTAGAAGTGGGAGATTCCTTTCGAATCCGTGTTGTTCAATTCACATGACGCATCTCCCACACGCTGACCATCGACGTACGCGGAGCCTCGTTTTCCGTTCCGTAGCACAATGGCCACCTGGTGTGTTGTCTCTGGCTCCCAATTACTGCGGAGTTCCTTGGTCGTTTTGCCACCGCACAGCAACTGCCACTTCCCCTCTTTGTCGTGCGACAGTCCCAGGAGCACAGTCTTCTTGTTGTCATTCATCGTCGCACCCATCAATGGAATGGGGGTATCTCCCTTCGGCTCACCGTGGACGGACACCGTCACCAAAAGAGTGAAGTTGTAGTTCGCAAATTTGTACAGCTGATTCTCCCCCTGCTCGCCAACGGGCCACTCCGCCCACGCACCATGGAACGTCACTCCATCCGCATACCCTGTTGCCACCCCATTCGTTCCTTTCGTTACTGTGGCGTTCACTCCGAGGTACTCGTCCCTCCATGTGTTACCAGAGAAGTTTTTGGACAAAAAGCCAACCAGCCCATCCGTGGTCTTAACAGCGCTGCAGCCATTGCCAGTTGAGGGATTCTTCGGAGCAGTTGAAGGGCACAGCTTGGAGACACGGCCGTCCACTTCCTTCCAGGTCACCAGCACCTCCCTCACCCGCTTCAGCTGCGCAGTCAGACGCACAGAGACCATGCCGAGTGATGAGTCCCCATCGCCCTTCTTCTTCTCGTACAGTGCAATCAACCTCTCATTAGTATTATTTCCACTTCCGGCACTTTTGTACAGCAGGGAGCTGGCGGCAGCGTCATCATCACCGGACACCGACCCAATATCAACAATGTGCGTATTGTCCGTCAGCCAAAGATGGAGTACGCCCTTTTCTCCATTCTTGGGATACACTGGCAGAGTAACGAGCATCACGTCCCTGTTCCCAATCGTCGCTGTGCTGAAACCGCTCCCAACGCCCTTCACACTTCCCTTGTGTTTGCTGCCCCACACGCGGGAGAGTGTCCCGAGCGCCTCCGTCCACGAATCCCCCTTGTCACCGGACTCGTACACCCTGCGGCGGCCAT